CATCTCGCATGTATCTTGTCATATTTCAATGAAAGAAATGCAACCATCACTTATACATTTACACAGTTTTGTATTTCACTTTGCAATCTCTACACTCAACCCAATCTCTACCTTCAATATGTCTTGGGGCAGTGGGGTAGTCTAGTGGTTAAAGCGTTCGCTTGTCAAGCCGAAGAGTGAGTGAGTTGGGCTCGTGCCCCCTCATGCTGAAGACCCAGGTTCATTTTCCCACATAGGTACAATGTGTTAAGACCATTTCTGGTGTCCCCCACCATGATATTGCTGGAATATTGCTAAAAGGGGTGTAAAACCATATTCACTCACTCACTCACTCACTCAATATGTCTTGACTTTGAGATACTCATACATTTTTTGCCTTGTCCAAGAATCCATTACATAGTGACCTCAAAAACATATACAGTGTAATGTGTAACTGATACTTTCAGATTCCTGTGGTTAAACATGCAGCCTAACCAACCACCTGTTGCTACCTTTTCATCAGAATATTCACCTGCTGGTATTTTTTCTTGAATAATGCGACAAAAGTTTTGTACTACACACAATCAACTTGTTTCTGTATTGATTTAATAATCCCCCTAGGCCACGTTCCACACATCGACCTTAGCGCTAAAACGATCATAACTCAGACTTACAACAATTATAGCAGGAAGATCGCTTTGTGGGGACCCTGGATCACAAATATATGTCCAGATAGTGAGATGAATATGCTGCAGCCCTTAAAACTGATGATCAACTGAAGAAAAGATCGGCAACAGAAGGAGAGTACAACACCCATCCTGTGTCAAAATGTCAACAAAAAGAGATGGAACAAAACAAACAACAGGAAAAGCACAGTGGTATTTCAGTATTTTTATTGACGTAACAGTGCTCATTGCATGCATAAACAATACATCAAGAGCTGTACAAAATCTGTCATCTGTTGTCACATAGCTAGTACACTCAGTATAATGCATTGTACATGTAGGACCGCATGGCTGCTGGGGGAATCATTTCAGTAATGTCCGCACTACCTATTTTAACCAGGACCTCTTATCACATACTTCATGTATGCTCTGTGTTATTTGTATACAAGAACCTATCCCTTATGCAGTCAATTAAATTATGTCCGACAGGACCTAGTAAAATTTGTGAATGTCTGAAAAAGAATATAGAAATTTAACAGCCCCCATGTCCGATAATAGAAACTAGCCACTGAATGTATAAACAAATTGGGGTGGATAAATCTTCTTGAGGTCTTATTAAAAACAATTTTATCAGACCTATTGTCTGGTAAAGAATTTTTTATTTCAATGACTGCTTATGGTAAAGTGAGAAGGGATTCAGTGTTCAAATGTTGCTCACACTCTACATCTTCATTAACTTTCATGAAAAATTAATCCATCCAGAATGGTAAAAGTGGTATGTTTTATATGAATCCAAATGTGACTATAATTAGTGCCTGGTCAGCAATAGCCGATATGGTGGGCTAGGTCTACAGTGTGATCTTAATGCACACAGGAATACACACAGAGTGCTGCCTACAAATCAGGATTGAACAATTTCTTAAACGGACAAAAAATATGTTTTAACATTTACAACATGGTTGGTGATAATGACGACCACGATAACTGAATTATTCCATGAAATGATAACACCAGGCAGTCATCATTAGGATATCCTACAGGTCATTATGATATCCTTCTATCAGGATATCCTACAGAGAAACCAGCAGTGTTTTGATTCTAGCCTTGCTATAAATATCACATCAGTCCTTGTTCATTTGGTTACATGATACGACTACATCATGACAGAGTGCTCTCCCCTGAATGGGAACACGAGCCACTGGTTACAATGACACAGATAACACATATTAATATGTGTTGTTACTGTAAGTAACTGCATATAATCACAAATGCTATTTTTGAATTAAGATTAATAAGGCAAAATGTTTGAAAGGCGACATTTTTTAAAGTTAGCAAACTGAACCGAGAACAGTGTCTAGGATAAAGAACAGAATCCAGCCATAAAAGTTGACAGTTTTGACAATTTGGGACATCACAGTCTTAACAGTTTTTATTCAGTCACAATCTAACTGTTACATCAATGGGTTTTTTTTTATGTTAGGTCAGGTTATTAAATACATTCCAATACGTGGAGACTAGTCCCCAACAACAAACTGTCTACTAACTGTGGAAACATGGTGGGATTCCAACCAGCTGCAGTAACCATAGAAACATGATGGTTCTCATTCAAAGTTGTAGTAACCATGGAAACATGGTTATACACCAACCAAGCTGATTTACTAAGACACATGGTTGTTCTTATTCCTAGTTGTTGTAACCATGGAAACATGGTGACACACCAACCAAACTGACGTAACCATGGTGATACTCAATCTGAGTTGTCTGAGCATTTGACATAAGGGGCTTGTACTTACTACAGTCAATCACACTAGTTGCTAAGATATATATATATATCATCTACGATTGCACATGTCAGTATACACACAGATCATCACAATAATTGCAATTTAACATTAAATATACCTTTGTATATACATATATCGAACTGGTAATTGACTGGCAATGTAGAACAACAATTTACAAGTCAGGGTCTCTTTACGTCAGACATAATATACAACAGCGTTCTTCCAACCCTTACAGGGCCTCAAAAATCTTGATTAATAAAACAACTCAAATTGGATGTTTAAGCAACTGGTATTACTGTTTGATACAGCGGTAATATTGTTTGATTTTATACATGTGTGGACAATTTAGATATCAAATTTTAAAATACTTTCCTTGACACTATCTCTATCCTACGATTACCACTCTTAACTCATAAGGACATAGCTTACACTTGTCCTCACAGAAACTCATTTACAATCACAACTGGTAAATAAACAGTCTAAAACAATGTCTATGTACCATCTAAAATGAACTAGGATGGGATTCCTGGATTAAGAACACTTAGTATCATCACAGATAGCTGTCAGGACATTGAAGCCAAATTCTGCTGTTAAAGCTGAACGTATCGATTTGGCAATGTAAGTATTAAGTAGGATTTTCTGCTTCGGGAGAGTTGGGCTGTCGGGGTACAATACCACAGGAGGTCACTTTATGATACGTATCATGATGGTACGTTCGCATGATACATGATACAAAATATGATGCCATGAAGTTGTACACCAGTGGAAAGATTCGAGACCTTTGTCCATTTTCCTGGTAATTTCATGAAAACACCCTGAGAAAATGTTTTTTTATCATTCAACTATATGCCACTGGAAGCATGTCCTTTAATAGTTACAGAGCTCCAGATAAAGTGCATATTTGGGTAAAATACACAAAATAATTCACTAATGTTGTGTTCTTTGTATAAATATAGGCATGAACAATTTCAGAACCCAATAAACAAAACTGTGTGTAAGTACCCAATGCAGCCTTTTCAGCTTGCGTACCTGAATATTATTCCTCATCTTTATATACTGATCAAATGTATCAACTCCACTGCAGTGAATAATGCTACATATCGCTTATGGCAACCGACGCATGTTTATCACTGTTGTGAGCTTATCTGACATCTGACACATTTGGGGCAGAACGTGAACAGAGGAAAATAAGACTTTACCTGAAACAACATTTTTTTCAAAATGTCGATTCATTGGTTTATAAATACCCAAACGACTGGACCAAAGGGAATAAAATATATTGAATACCCAATGAAAACTATCAATACCCAATGTGAATGATAACATGTGTAAATACTAAATTAACCACCAAATTATCTGGAACCCTGTAGATATTATCTGTATGACAAGACATCATGATACGATACATAGGTGTCATCAGTACAATCATTAGTTACAGCCCTAGTTCTATAAGCCTGTTCCAAGAATAAATCTTAGCACTAAGACAATCCAATCTCATATATAGTACTCAAAAACTATTAAGAACACCTAATTCTTTCTAATTACTATAGTTAATCTGTCATAACTATGGTAATTGAAAGACGGGTGGTCCTCAACTATTTTTGAGTAGCATATACAAAGGGGTTGGGTGTGTGTGGGGGGTGGGGTGGGGTGGGGTGGAGGTGGGGGTGGGGGGTGGCTCAGGTCAAGTAACAGCCTAGGAAGTTGGATTCATGTAACTCAAAACAAACATTTATCTGTCAACTCAAATTTTATGATGCATATCACTCTCGCAGTTCCATTATTACACAGAGATACATATCATTAATTACAATGTCAAGAGAGCTAGAGGCCATGCAGCAGTGTAGCCCATTAAACGGGGACAAGACTCAGAGAAATCAAAAGTCCAAGCAAACTTGATTACAGTTGTTCAAATATATCACTTAATATATAAATATATCTGTCAACTCTAATGTATGATGTGTGTCAGGCCAGCAGTTTATGTTTTCCCCAATACCTAGAGACAATGTCCGAACATGCTTCTGATTACAGTGTCTAGACCTTAAATGAAAATTGGCTTCAGATCATGGAGCACAGTCCCTCTTTTATACTTATGCAGCCTAAGACATTCATTTTTATAAGACTAGTCCAGAGGACTATTGTAAACCATATTACCGAGTTGGTTGTTTGTCCTGCTTGAATGCATCTTCCTAAGGCAAGTGAGTTAACTGACTATAAAAGTCCAGTTTCCACCCTTGCCAAACTAGGCTGGTATTATGGAGTTACATTTTGGCTGGACTAACGAGTCTATGCATAGTCCAATCAAAATCGTGCAACGAAATCGAAATCCGGTTCTAAATTGCAGGATTTGCAAAGCATGTGCACCGCCAACTCGTTGTCAGCAGATATTTTCCAAATCTCTTCATGTTTTTTATCAAGGTGCTCACGCATTGCGCGATGGAAGACCCGTTTTATCACAACATAGACCTTGATTATCGATCAGATCGTCTTGACTGGGCGCCACTGTTTTGTTTGAAGCAAATGCAAGTGATACGAGACGTGGAATCTGATTGGTCTAAAGGAGAGGCTTAGAAGGGACATAACTCGTAATAGCCACTGGTGGCGCTACGATAGAGCCCAGGAATTCTAGACTAGTTTGGCAAGGGTGGAAACTGGACTTTTAAAGTCAGTTAACTCTCTTGCCTCGGGAAGATGGCTTGAATGAGAAAAAGATGTTAACTATGTTTAGATTTTCAGTCAGTTTTACTCAGTTCCAACTTGAAGCAAAACTGAAGCATTGAGAATTGGTTCAGAATTATAGCCCTCAAATGCTACTAGTCTATGAGGACTACCATCATTGGATTATTACAAGCCTTCAACACAATAGAGTAGTCTCAGGCTAATGAACTTGCATGAATTTCAAAGGCTGTTTATACGGTCAGAGTGCTAAGATTATTTTTTGGAAAGGGCTTATCAATATGAACTGAGCCGAAGCTGCAACACATGCAGCCTCCAACTGTCTACACATGCTCAAGACTTGAACACATAGTGAGCAAAGAACGGTATAACTAAACATAGTTGAGATTACCACTAACACACAGCACTCACTGGCCTAGCAGTCTACAGCAGATACACACACATACAAACTTCAGCACCATTGATAATCAACACGAGAACAAAATACAACATGGGAACTCAGTTTAAGCTAAAACAGTCATGCTAAACTGAATAATAAATGCAGCACATTTGTAAGCTAGGGCTTAAAGCATTATGAATAACTTGGATGTATGAATCACCGTAAGAGCTTCTATTTCTATACAGCAATGGCAGAAAGACAAGATGCTTGGGAATATATATGCGTCAGGCCCTACAAGCAGATAACATTTGCTATCTGGAATGAAAAACGTTTGATATATATGTATAGTTGCTAAACTTTGATTTTATAGCAATATATAAATTTTGTGTTGACTAAATCATTCTTAATGCCAGTCATATATGCCATTTGAAAATCTACAGAACTATAGTATTTTGAATGCTCCGGATTTATCAGTTGAGTGGTTATTCAAGTGGGAAGAGTTATCTACCCTGTCCTCCAGAACACATGCAATCATTGTGACAGACAAGCAGGGTGTCGATACTGTTGCCATGGTGATAGGTGGGCAGTGGACACTCGGAGGCATCATTACTGATTCCTTGTTTCACATGACTGTGTTTGAAATAAGCGGGACAGCCGAACATTCCTTGGATTAAAATATACTACTCAAAAGAAGTCAAAGAAAACCTGATGTTTTCATATGACTAAAGACAGATTAACTATAGTAATATGAAAGAACTGAGTGCTCCTTAACTTTTTTATAGTACTATAAATGAGGCAATACCCACGGACAACAGAGCCTCATTTTTGACTCTGTGGATAATGTTTAAATCGTTTGGTTGGGAAAGCTAAACAGTCTTCTACTTTTGCCACTTGTCGAAATCCAGAGCCAAGTAACCTCTTTCGACGTGTACATGTGGTATTGGAGTCAAATAGGAAAATAGTTATTACTCTAGAAAGATTTTTTTTTAATTTTCAAAACCGATATTTCAAAATGGGTCTGTTTCAACAGATTTCGTTTTATTTTACATTTGTTTTTATTAATGTCATTCAAGGTAGACACAATTTTTTGGATAACAACTTCTTTAATACTGTAAAAAGCGACGTTTCGGTATAGAACCTTATACCGTTGTCAAGCAAGACTGAATGAGGGACTTAGTACAGAATATATATAGTAGGTGGAGGATTAACAGTAGAGGATTAACAGTAACAACAATTGCATTTATAACACCTTTCAAACAATTTAATGTCATTCAGTCAATGCAAATCATGGAATGAATAATGATCCCTACTGGCAAACCACGGCGGGACAATCACGGGACTTTTAGAGGGTAAACCATGTAACTAAGTCAATACATGTAGGCAGTGTTGAAATGCAGACATGAGAAGCCGAACAGAATGGAGACATGACTCTTTCAAGAACTGATAGATGCAAGTGGTGAAGAAATGAAATGAAATTCCTGCGACAACAATCTCGAGACGTGTGTAAACACAATGCAGGAATTTGTCAATGTCGGCTATACAAACTGGGCCCAGCCCACATGTTTTTTTTCTAAAACAATCAGTTATGTATACATGAACAGTGAACATAGATGAAGGCTGATTATGCATGTAGCTCATATTATCGTACAATAATAAAATCACTTTCTGCTAGACATGCAAGAAAGGAACAAGATTTAATAAAAGGAAAGACTAAGATCTAACTTAGATTTGCAGCCATACAAATACAAGTTGCATTTTCTTTGTATATGATATCACAATATTTAAAAATGCCCTTTGTCGTAGATTTAAGTAAAGCAATAAATATGTTTTTTACTCTGTTTTAAATCAACTGGTTGTTTCCTACAGAGGTTGCGGACAGATCTTATCACTGATCAATATTTGCGAGCTGGTTGAGCTATCAACTCCATATTTTGAGAGATCATGCACACATTCACTCATATTACAAATTTCAGGAGGAATTTAATGGAGCAAGTAATGTCTACCAAGGATTTGTGTGTGCAAGGAACAGATGTAATGCTATGCAGATCTGTCTGGAGGGCCCCAGTGGGAGCCTGGAGAGTAATGAGAGTTGTAAGGTAAGTAGTATGCCAGGTATCCCTAGGGGTCCATGAGAGAGGCATCGGGGGCGGTGAGAACATAGGGGTCTACCTGTTCCGGGGTGGCTGAGCGTAATCTCTGGGCAGCAGATTTCTTTGACTTCTTCTTCTCTTCTCTACTATGGTGCTCCTTGTGGATCAACCGCATTCGGTTCTGGGTCTGCAACACAGAATCAATTTGTTAAAGGGCTTGCAAGAACACAGTGCAAATTGTTAGTCTGAATACTGTAAATCTTGAAATTAATGCGTCTCCAAATTAATATGACTGCCGACCCCTAGGAAAAAATGCGACTCAAAATCAATGCAACTCCCAGCACCCCATCCCCAGTGGAATGATACATATCCTTACATTAATCCAATCAAACAGTAAATGTGGGTAGAATATAGGTAGAATATTCAAGTTGGTATTTCCGCAAAGTGTGCAGTGAGGCCATCTTATTGTTGAAAGTCATTTTTGAGATATAAATGGGAAGTTTTATTTATATTAGCGAACAAAGACAATTCGCATTTTTCGCATTTAATTCACGATCGCGTTCATTTCAAGATTTACAGTAATTAGACTGTAATCAAGGTAATATTACAATAGTTTATCAAACAATGGATGGTGTCATTGATGCAGTACACCCACCCAATTAACGTGCTATTACAATCCGAGAACACACAAATGAGGTAACCCAGGAGAAACTACTTTTAAAATCTCTATACAACAATGTGATACCCACTCATTCACAAAACTATTGGACCCATGAAGATCCAGGATAGAATAGCTCTTCAGCAACCCCTGCTTGCCGTAAAAGGTGATTATTCTTGTCGTAAGGGACGACTAAAGGGATCGGGTGGTCAGGCTCGCTCACTTGGTTGGTGCATGTCATCGATCCCAATTGAGTGGACCGATGCTCATGATATTAATCACTGGATTGTCTGGTCAAGACCCGATTATTTACAGACCGCTGTCATATAGCTGGAATATTGCTGAGTGCGGCGTTAAACAACAAACAAAGAAACAAACAAAAAAACACAAAACTAATGAATACTGTTTCAGTGTTTGCATAGCTGTTTTAAAAGAGGTTTTCCGATACACAAGTGCTCACGTAAACAAACATGGCTGCAAATAAATTGGCTCACAATACATATATAAACGATAGTTCACAAAGGCATCTTATTCCTACAAGTTACCTCAGTGAATGAAAACATGTCTTTAACTTATTAAACTGATCATTTTAAGAAAATGAAAAAGAAATTATTACTCTCACATGTCTCCTTATCGTAAATATCATATATTAGGAACAAAAACATGTTTTTTTCTCCTCAAAGGCCAGCCAATGGTGGAGACATACAGTGCAAGGGCTCCACCTACCAACTCCCTCAGCTAATGGTGGGTGGGGACACATACAGTACGAGGGCTCCACCTACCAACTCCATCAGCTAATGGTGGGTGGGGACACAACAGTACAAGGGCTCCACCTACCAACTCCCTCAGCTAATAACAGGGAGACATACAGTACAAGGGCTCCACCTACCAACTCCATCAGCCAATAACAGGTAGACATACAGTACAAGGGCTCCACCTACCAACTCCCTCAGCTAATGGTGGGTGGGGACACATACAGTACGAGGGCTCCACCTACCAACTCCCTCAGCTAATGGTGGGTGGGGACACATACAGTACAAGGGCTCCACCTACCAACTCCTTCAGCCAATAACAGGGAGACATACAGTACAAGGGCTCCACCTACCAACTCCATCAGCCAATAACAGGTAGACATACAGTACAAGGGCTCCACCTACCAACTCCCTCAGCTAATGGTGGGTGGGGACACATACAGTACGAGGGCTCCACCTACCAACTCCCTCAGCTAATGGTGGGTGGGGACACATACAGTACGAGGGCTCCACCTACCAACTCCCTCAGCTAATGGTGGGTGGGGACACAACAGTACAAGGGCTCCACCTACCAACTCCTTCAGCTAATGGTGGGTGGGGACACATACAGTACGAGGGCTCCACCTACCAACTCCATCAGCTAATAACAGGGAGACATACAGTACAAAGGCACCACCTACCAACTCCCTCAGCTAATGGTGGTTGGGGACACATACAGTACAAGGGCTCCACCTACCAACTCCTTCAGCCAATAACAGGGAGACATACAGTACAAAGGCTCCACCTACCAACTCCCTCAGCTAATGGTGGTTGGGGACACATACAGTACAAGGGCTCCACCTACCAACTCCTTCAGCCAATAACAGGGAGACATACAGTACAAAGGCTCCACCTACCAACTCCCTCAGCTAATGGTGGTTGGGGACACATACAGTACAAGGGCTCCACCTACCAACTCCTTCAGCCAATAACAGGGAGACATACAGTACAAGAGCTCCACCTACCAACTCCCTCAGCTAATGGTGGGTGGGGACACATACAGTACAAGGGCTCCACCTACCAACTCCTTCAGCCAATAACAGGTAGACATACAGTACAAGAGCTCCACCTACCAACTCCATCAGCTAATAACAGGGAGACATACAGTACAAGGGCTCCACCTACCAACTCCTTCAGCCAATAACAGGGAGACATACAGTACAAGGGCTCCACCTACCAACTCCTTCAGCCAATAACAGGGAGACATACAGTACAAGGGCTCCACCTACCAACTCCTTCAGCCAATGGTGGGTGGGGACACATACAGTACAAGGGCTCCACCTACCAACTCCCTCAGCTAATGGTGGGTGGGGACACATACAGTACAAGGGCTCCACCTACCAACTCCTTCAGCTAATGGTGGGTGGGGACACATACAGTACAAGGGCTCCACCTACCAACTCCTTCAGCCAATAACAGGGAGACATACAGTACAAGGGCTCCACCTACCAACTCCCTCAGCTAATGGTGGGTGGGGACACATACAGTACAAGGGCTCCACCTACCAACTCCTTCAGCCAATAACAGGGAGAGGTACAGTACAGGGCTCCACCTACCAACTCCCTCAGCCAATGGTGGGTGGGGACACATACAGTACAAGGGCTCCACCTACCAACTCCTTCAGCCAATAACAGGGAGACATACAGTACAAGGGCTCCACCTCCCAACTCCCTCAGCTAATGGTGGGTGGGGACACATACAGTACGAGGGCTCCACCTACTAACTCCTTCAGCTAATGGTGGGTGGGGACACAACAGTACAAGGGCTCCACCTACCAACTCCTTCAGCTAATGGTGGGTGGGGACACATACAGTACAAGGGCTCCACCTACCAACTCCTTCAGCCAATAACAGGGAGACATACAGTACAAGGGCTCCACCTCCCAACTTCCTCAGCTAATGGTGGGTGGGGACACAACAGTACAAGGGCTCCACCTACCAACTCCCTCAGCTAATGGTGGGTGGGGACACATACAGTACAAGAGCTCCACCTACTAACTCCTTCAGCTAATGGTGGGTGGGGACAAATACAGTACAAGTGCTCCACCTACCAACTCCTTCAGCTAATGGTGGGTGGGGACACATACAGTACAAGGGCTCCACCTACCAACTCCTTCAGCTAATGGTGGGTGGGGACACATACAGTACAAGGGCTCCACCTACCAACTCCTTCAGCTGCTGAGCGAGCTTCTCCTTCTCTTTGGTCAGTCGGTCCATCTCCTCTGTGTTCTTCTGCTTCTTGGTGCTGGTCATCTCCAACAGAGCTATATTCGCATCCTTCTCACATATTGCTGCCTGGATTGCCTCTTGTCTGAAACACCAAGGCATGTCAGTGAGTGAGTTGGTTTTAAAGCCGCTTTTAACAGTATTCCAGTCATATCGTGGCGTGTCAGCTTAATGTGGGAGGAAAGCAGGTCTCAGACGTTTATCACTTCAGTGAAACCCACGAACACGAGTATGGTGGCGTGCCCAAGGGACGCAACTCTGCACAGCGAATCGCGGCGCCTTAGACGACTGGGCCACACAGCTGGTCTTAAGTCGTTTACCACTCTGCACAGCAAATTGCAGTGCGTCAAAGGAAAAGGATACCCAATCATGTATATACAGGACATCACCTTGCAGGAACTGACCAATCAACTTTGACCAGTTACCTTACTTGATTTGCTTTTGCATCAGAGATTTGTAATTAAATAGATATTTTCAAAAGGATAATAATTGTTCACTTACTTGGTTTGTATTTATCGGACTAAAAGTATCAATAGAGGATATATTGATCATGTAGATGTCTTTATGAGTAGCCACACCAAAGTGCTTTTGATTATTCAGTTCATCATGAATCTCAGTCAATGCTTGTGACAATGATGCAGGAGCACACACACAATGAAACATATTTCTGTAGTTTCAGCCAGAATGAAATGCTTTTGAAATGCATTTGTGAATCTGGTATTCACGCCAAAGTATGCTAAGCTATCTGGACTATATATACTTGCACTGCATGCTTCTAAGACTTGTGCAGTAAACATATGTAGTGGGAATATATGATACAGCTAACCTCAGGCAAAGTATTTACTTTGAAACTTAGGAGATGCATTGTGTGGTTTGTCAACTGCAGATAAAGTACCTGACTACTAGTTACTAATCATTGTTCTATTCTACACATATACCATTAGCTGTTGCTTCAGTTTATAAAGTTTTGTTGTTAAAATTATAATTTTCTTCTTTTCTCTAACTTAGCAGGGCACGTTGAAATTTCAAGTTTACTTCCCCTTGGGCAATTAGGAAATATTGGTATTTGAACACCCCTGCAAATAGAATCAAATACCCTGTGACAGGTATAGAGCACTAGATGACAAGTGTAGCAGAAATTGATCTATTGATCAATAAACATATTTTGGCATCTACACAATCAGCAAACCAATCATGATTAAATGGTGCACCACTACCAGAAACCCAGGCTTAGCGGGCAACACTTCCACCACTAGGCTACGCACACAACCGCTGTGTACTGCATGAAAAGCCTTGTGTACTCACTTCATCTCAAACACTTCTTCCAGGTGTTTGTGTCGCTCAGACTGCAGACGGCGGAGACGAGCTTCCTTCTCCTCCAGTTGTTTGGTCATCCCAGACACTTTGGCAGTCAAGTCTGCCTTTGTGTGCTGCAAAGATGCCTGGTCACTCTTCAGGATGTCGATCTGAAACACACACACAGACGTCTTCCAGCTCAATCACACGAATATGTCTAATTGTACACGAGAATGTCAAATTGTACACACGTATGTACAATTGCACACAAGGATGTCTTATTTCACACGAGTGGGTCTAATTTCACAGTAGTAGGTCTAATTCAAAGTCTTATACACAAGTTTCTAGTTGTATTTGCACTGCATCAACTTCGTGATGTGTCGTGATACTTTTTCACTTTTCACCCAGTATTCTGATGGCACTGTTTATCTTGTACACAGTACCCTATGTTGCCATGTCGTGATTTCCTCAGCATTAATACTCCTCACACTGGAGTGGGCAACAGGGCAACAAATGTCAGTTAGTTAGGTGACAAATGTAATAAATTAACAACCATCACTAGCATCCTTAAACACAGCCTCACATCATCCAATATACCAGCAAATCAGGCTTGTCAGTCCCTGCTGAATTCCACAACGAAAAATAATTATCACACAGTAAATTTTGATTAACTCTGAATCAATTTGCATGAGTTTTGAACTAAGTTTTGCAAACTCTTAAGCTATTTTGTATAAATTAAAGGCTTTTTTTTACATATTAATCCATGACTTGTCAACTTTAAGACATTCTTCAAGGAATCTCGATAGAAAAGGTGGATTCACTTAGAAACATAACCTGACTATTAATTTAACACTTTCATAATTATGAAATTTACAGGAATATATGGTATTATTCTAAATCTGACACAAATTTTCAAAAATTGTAAACAATTATTTGCATTAACACAGAAATTAATACAAAAACAATTAATTCACATGTTGATCTGCAACTTTTATGTTTTGAGAACCCACTTTCAATTCACACTTGTAAATGTCTGCAGTGTAGTTGACAGATTCCACTGCAGAAACATGCTAAATTCTACGTATGTTCTGCACAAAAAGTGTTTTTCTACAATATAGGTACATTTCTGCATCAAGAATACAATTCTGCAAAATATTCTGCGATAGTGGAATGCCGAAACAGAGCAGGGACTATTCAGTAGGCAAAAGACTTGTTGCAATTTTTTTAACATCACTATTTCTATATTTGATTTGGCTATCATCTTAAAGAAACCTTATTCACCTATGAACAAATTCTCAGATAAGCAGGATCAATTGAGTTATCTCCCTTGTCTTAATTCATTATCAGAAAAACCACAAGTTTGTTTCATTGTGCACAATATCAGGTAATTGAGTTACCTCCCTTATCTCTATTCATAAACAGACAACATGACAACTGTTTGAGGGATGACATTTACGCACAAACACAAACAGATGATCTGTCATGGCCTTGCATGCTCCAGATACACTAGAAGTGAGTGAGTTGGGTGTAATGCTGCTTTGATAAACAAACAGATGCTAACTATAAGTCAGTGTAACAAGAAGTTGAGCAGTTGAAGTTGGTGTACTGACACAGTGTACTGACAGTGATGTACTGACAGTGACATGATAGTGTACCAACAGGGTGTACTCACAGTGACGTACTGACAGAGTGTACCCACAGGGTGTACTGACACAGTGTACCCACAGGGTGTACTGACACAGTGTACCCACAGGGTGTACTGACACAGTGTACCCACAGGGTGTACTGACAGTGTACCCACAGGGTGTACTGACACAGTGTACCCACAGGGTGTACTGACAGAGTGTACCCACAGGATGTACTGACACGGTGTACCCACAGGGTGTACTGACACGGTGTACCCACAGGGTGTACTGACACAGTGTACCCACAGGGTGTACTGACACAGTGTACCCACAGGGTGTACTGACACATTGTACCCACAGGGTGTACTGACACAGTGTACCCACAGGGTGTACTGACACAGTGTACCCACAGGGTGTACTGACAGTGTACCCACAGGGTGTACTGACACGGTGTACCCACAGGGTGTACTGACACGGTGTACCCACAGGATGTACTGACACGGTTTACCCACAGGGTGTACTGACACGGTGTACCCACAGGGTGTACTGACACGGTGTACCCACAGGGTGTACTGACACGGTGTACCCACAGGGTGTACTGACACAGTGTACCCACAGGGTGTACTGACAGTGTACCCACAGGGTGTACTGACAGAGTGTACTCACAGTGATGTACTGACACAGTGTACCCACAGGGTGTACTGACAGTGTACCCACAGGGTGTACTGACACAGTGTACCCACAGGGTGTACTGACACAGTGTACCCACAGGGTGTACTGACAGTGTACCCACAGGGTGTACTGACACAGTGTACCCACAGGGTGTACTGACAGTGTACCCACAGGATGTACTGACACGGTGTACCCACAGGGTGTACTGACACGGTGTACCCACAGGGTGTACTGACACAGTGTACCCACAGGGTGTACTGAAACAGTGTACCCACAGGGTGTACTGACACAGTGTACCCACAGGGTGTACTGACACAGTGTACCCACAGGGTGTACTGACACAGTGTACCCACAGGGTGTACTGAAACAGTGTACCCACAGGGTGTACTGACACAGTGTACTTACAGTGATGTACTGACACAGTGTACCCACAGGGTGTACTGACAGTGTACCCACAGGGTGTACTGACACAGTGTACCCACAGGGTGTACTGACACAGTGTACCCACAGGGTGTACTGACAGAGTGTGTACTGACAGAGTGTACTCACAGTGATGTACTGACACAGTGTACCCACAGGGTGTACTGACAGTGTACCCACAGGGTGTACTGACCTCATTCTTGTACTCCTCCACCAGGTTGTTCTGTTCCGCCATGTCCATCTCCCGCTGTGCCGTGATCCTCACGCTCTCCCTCAAGGCCTCCTCCAGCTCCTCGATACGCTCGCCCTTCATCCTCATGTCAGTCTGCAACCATGGGGAGACTTCCTTATACTTTCATTATTCATATAAACCAGGTAACACAAATCAGACTCCAGGCAACGTTTCACTCTAAGCACCCCATCTGGGCCCAAAATATTTTTCTTGATTACTGTCATACCTCAATCCAAAATATTTCTCACAACATTCTCCAATCAATATTTCTTGATTATTGTCTCGATACGATGGCATTGGCGTCTGATCCATACCAGCACTACCACACAATTTTAGAATGTCAACTTAAACCTAAAACTTCAGTTTTATTGTTAATGTATACAAGTGAGAAGGGATTAATGGCTTTGTTTGTTTAATTGTTGTTTAACGCCACACTCAGCAATATTCCAGCTATATGACGGCAGTCTGTTAATAATCCAGTGATTGACATCATGAGCATCAATCCACGTAATTGAGATGAGATGACATGCATCAACTAAGTCAGCGAGCCTGTTAGTCGCCTCTTACGACAAGCATAGTCGCCTTTTACGCAAGAGTGGGTTGCTGAAGACCTATTCTACCCTGGATCTTCACTTGGGTCCAAGGCACTTGTTGCAGTATTTCAGCAATGTTATGGCATTGGTTGATGCTAAAGGAAAGTCTTAAGTGGTTCTGTTGTCGATGTACTGATCATGAGCTGACAGACCATTAATGAAACGAATCTTGGATTTGCACACATGATCCATATAGAAAATAAAGGGACACAACTCATGATACAATCCTTGTATGAGGTAGACGGATAAACAAGCTGGATGTCAGTACTGACTAAGGTGTCATACTGTTTCTTCTTGCTTTTGTCTGAAAATAAATATGAATTTTATAATAGTTTATTCTTGCAGTGGCTATTTTCATCTCCACACTACCTGAAGCTGAGTTGCATCTTCTGTCATGTTCTTCTCACTCTTCCTGGCCACCTCCAGGAGCTCTGCATTCTTCTTCTTCTCTCTCTGCTGGTTCCGCTTCAGTGTCCCCATCTTCTCCTTGTACTCCTTGATGATCCTGGAAGCAAGCAGTTACAGCACGAACATGACATGGTGACCTGGAAATTCAAACTTCATAAAATTGAGTTTAATGGTACTATATTTCATGCTAAGGTTTGGCTTGTAAATTGACAAATGACCAGTATGATCAAACTGATTGAAACCCATAGTCTTGATATGACAACATAATGATAATGATGGCAGAGTTTAACTGGAGGTGTTTGCAGGAACTTGCAAAAACAGAAGCAGGCCCCTCACTGGGATTTCCTTAAAGCTTCTGAGTATTAAATACCCAAAACAAGACTTCCAGACCACCTGACCACCTTGAATCCTTATGTGAAAAGTTAAAGATTTAGGGGGTCCCTTGATCCAAATACCATAGAAGACCTAAGGACCCCAGGACCCCCTTAATTTCCGACACTGCTGTAGGATCATGTGATTGTGTAGAAAATATCTTGTCTGTGGAGTAATAACATTAAGAATATCCTTTTCTTTAGCAAACAAATGACAAGTAATTTTAGTTGAATGTTGAAACTTGTTGCTCTGTATCCCTTAGGGGTAAAACAATCCAGCAAAGGTCACGATAAGATAGGTATCAGGATATGCATATGTACTTCAAATCACATGGACATTTCTTGAATATAAACATTTCACAGCAGGTTCCAAATGAAAAGCTAGCTGTAGACACATCAGAGTAGTGGCCATTTTAAATTACACCGATTGCCAAAAATGCCAAATGTGTTGGGTTTTGGGTTGGCTGTAATCTATTTTAGCAAGTCTATCGTCTTGTGTACAGATACAGAAAAAAGCGTATCATGTATTATATCATGGCGAGATAATTCATGATGCAGCGATGCATCATTTCACCCTGGCATCACTCACTCCTGCATCTCCTTCATCTGGTTGTCCTTCTCCGTCTTCTCATTCTCTGCCTCCTTCATCACCTCCAGCAGCCTGTCCACCTCCGCATGGGCCCGCTTCAGGTCGTCCTGCGTGTGGGTCAGCTTCACCGTCTGGTCCGACATCCGCCGCTCCAGAGTCCCTCCCAGCTTGGGTGAGTCGATGCCATTCTCACGACTTGTCTAGACAAGTTACATACAGAGTCAGCAGGTGTTCTAACTTCACCTTCTGAATTATTTTGAATTGTTAACAGGTCGACTGCCATGATTAACAGTGAGTGAATGGTGGTTTATGCTGAAGTCAGCAATATTACAGTTCGAGTAGACTCAATAACTTGGCATGATGATTTGGAGAAACTCCTTTGTTCTATTTTGTTCTAGTCACTAAGTTACCTTGAATTTCTAGGATAAAATCACTACACTATTTTGCTACAAAGTCATGTAACATTCAATTCAATTCTGATTCTTACAAAGCTTTAACTGACCCTTCCCTATCTGTAATAAATAACCGGTCCCTATAAACATGCATCTATAAATGATAAACCATAAATAAACAAATATATTATGAGAGCTTCATTCAATAAATAAACATTTCTACTTCCCAATTGATGAGTACTGCTAGTCATTCCGCTTTGTTTCAAAAGGAGATCTTAATTTATCAAACATTGTTAAAGAAGATAAGAAGAGGAGGTGGATGTTAAGAAAATTTTGAAATAATCTGCTAAAGATCCAATTAAATTGCAGTTACCCCTACCACCCACATAAACCTCAGATAATGACACGTCCAATACTGTAAAAAAACAACAGCCAGATGGACAGTGAAGTACCCTCAACAAAACCTCACACTATTGACATGCAGGTGAGCTTTGGAGACCAAAGTTAATGAGGATGCGGATCTCAACATCTTTGCTCCCTCAAAGCAATGTTTCAGTATCAATGTTAGGACTTTTATCAAGCATGCAAACGCTAGTACACTTACCAAGCAAGTTGCTTGATTGATAAAGGTACTAGCATCAGTACTAAAATGTTTTGCTGAAAGAATACGGAAGTTGAAAGTCAACTTCAGAGTCATTTATTGTCATCCAAAATGTCCTGAAGATATTTTTCAATCTTTGGTAATGGTATAAAAGAGTGTCCTATCAGTATCTGCTCAAACCATGAAAACGTCCTCAGGCCATTTGTCTCCCACAACATCATCCTGTCTTCATTGATACAACAGTTTTTAAAATACCACCCAGAGATAAGGTCACAGTGGTTGTCGGTAGCCCTCCTCACCTTCATCAGCTCTACCTCCGAGCGGAGACTCTCCAGGTCCGACTTCTTCTGTTCCAGCTGAGACTCGAGCTGCCGCATCTTGGAGTCCAGCTTGAAGCGCTCGGACCTCAACTCTGCTGCCTCGGCTCTCAGCTCAACCAGCTCGGTCTGAGATACGAACACCGGCGGGGTAATACATGCTTGTTAGGACAGTATCTTTCATCATGCACATAATCACGTTTGAACTTAAAATTAAAAACATACACCTGGTCTCATGAATATCCTAAGCAAAACATTTTGTTTGTCTTTTGCTGAACACCGCACTCAGCAATATTCCAGCTACATGAAGGGAGCATGTAAATAATCAAGTCTGGACCAGACTATCCAGTGATTGATATTGTCAACAACAATCCACGTTGTGGGGTATGATGACATGCAATCAACCACGTCACTGAGCCTGACCACTCAATCTGTCTCCTCTTATGACCAGCATAGGTTGATGGGGGATCTTCTTCCACTCGGATTCCCCCCAGGCTTCATAAGGATGACACAAGATCATGGGGAAACTTTAATGGGAATCCCTGAAGGACATTTTGCACAATTTTGCTTCTTGTACAATCAATTCTGTCATGCAGCTAGCTTATGTTCCAGCTTGGTGGACCATACAGAACTTTCATTCCGAAAATTCAATACTTGCATAAAACCATACAACCATCATTGAAGCATGAAATAGATCATAGAACATAATGGGAAGCAGAGACAAGTGAAGCAATATTGATTTGGACCAACTATTCTGAGTGGTATTCAGTATGATATGACTGTGGCTGTGTTGGATGGAATTTAAGCATTTAGAAATTCAACTCCATAATTTGGCAAAAGTAGGTTTCAAAGTTTCAGGTTATTTGCTATGAAATGCTCTAAATACATTTGTCAATTCAATGTCTTTGCATCTTCTTCTATCAACCAAACAACATTTTTTTTTTATATAATATGTGCTTTACAGTGCACTACCGCACATCTTCCAGCCAACTTTGACTAATTTCTGAAGTTTTCTTTGGTCATTCCAACACATCGGACAAACTATGACAGTTTTCGTCATTTCTTAACTGATGCAGATCCAGTAGGCCCATGTCCTTATCCTGCCTTGTCCTCTGCAGACTTGGTTGATGTCCTGTTATAGGCTTATAGCAACTATATTCATGAAAGTCGTCCCAGCCAACATAACCATGCATACCAAATCCGTCTTCATTACAATCCAACACCCCTCTATGTGACCACTTAACCTAGCCATCTAAGCATACCTTTCCACATCACCTTACATACGCCATCTTCAGGCAGCTAAACAGTGCCTGCGTGCGTGCACTGACTGACCTGTTTGTCGTTCAGCTGTTGTTCCAGCTGATCTATCTTTGCCTTCATTTCCTGGGTGTCTTTGAGGTAAGTGCTCACTTCATCCTGGTGCTCCCTGTCGACTCGCTCGCGCTGCTCACGTAACCTGCAACATGGATCCAGTCAGTAAGTGTTCTGTTGGGCATGTTGAACGCCTTGGCAAAAAACTGTGGTGATTTCTTTGTTCAGGTCCTCCCCGAGAAATAAATATTGTCCCAAAAGTTATGACTGTAAAATATCCAAGGCTACAGCAATGGTCGGTCATTTAATGCTACAGTCACCAACAACATCATAGAATGCACGCGGAGTATACTATTTCTGGAGGTTGTGCAAGGCAAGTGTTGTTGTTGTTTTTAATAATAATAATAATAATAATAAAAGATGAAAAAAGTGCAGAAGCGGATTATTTTAGAATATGCATGTGAAGGAAACTGTCTGAGTGTTAGGAATTCTTTTTTTCTAAAATAATGTATCATGTCACAATCACCATGATAAAACTCGGCAGGCACATAAACAAGTCCAAAGTCCAAAGTCGGCCCTCATTGGGATAATACCATCTAGAAAGGGCTGCTCTTTGGTACATTGTACTATTACACACTTCAGACTCATGCAGCCTATTTCAGACAAGGCAACACATGTTTTAACTCCTATTATGCCCTGGTAACTTATCTACTTATCACATCGACCAAAATCATCAATTGCACAAATGAATGTGTGACCAAAATGTGTGGACACAAGGACTGGAGGAGGAGGCAGACTGCTAGTGTGATGGCGAGGTGACGGGGCAGCCATGTAGGGAAGTGGGAAATGTAATTACAAATACCACAGTGACAGTTGTTTCTTACAACTTATCTAATCTACTGAGCTGTAACACATTACCTTTCTATCTGTTTTTCTCTTTCATTGAGTGACTCCTCCAGACTAGATATGGCACTATCACTGGAGTCGGTGAAGGTCGTCGACAGACGCATCTTGGCCTGGCTGAGCTGATCATCCTTCTCTTTCACTAACTCGTCTAAACTTTCAATCTGAGAAAGAAAACAAATGTTTACACTGTAGCCTTGTGGGGAATCTGGGGTGGATAAGTTCCCTATGCCTTGAGCCTGTCATCAATAACAATTGACACTGAGTAACAGGGGCTTGCAACAGGTGAGCTGACTGGCCCATTGTCATGGTACCCTGCTGTGTGACATGGTACTCTGCTGTGTGTTATGGTACCCTGCTGTGTGTCATGGTACCCTGCTGTGTGTCATGGTACCCTGCTGTGTGTCATGGTACTCTGCTGTGTGTCATGCTTCCCTGTTGTGTGTCATGCTACCCTGCTGTGTGTCATGCTTCCCTGCTGTGTGTCATGGTACCCTGATGTGTATCATGGTACCCTGCTGTGTGCCATGCTACCCTGCTGTGTGTCATGGTACACTGCTGTGTGTCATGGTACCCTGCTGTGTGTCATGGTACCCTGATGTGTGTCATGGTACCCTGCTGTGTGTCATGCTACCCTGCTGTGTGTCATGCTACCCTGCTGTGTGTCATAGTACCCTGATGTGGATCATGGTACCCTACTGTGTGTCATGCTTTCCTGCTGTGTGTCATGGTACTCTGCTGTGTGTCATGCTTCCCTGCTGTGTGTCATGCTTCCCTGCTGTGTGTCATGGTACTCTGCTGTGTGTCATGCTTCCCTGCTGTGTGTCATCGTACCCTGCTGTGTGTCATGCTACCCTGCTGTGTGTCATGCTACCCTGCTGTGTGTCATGCTACCCTGGATCAACACTTTGTCTGGCGCAACACTTAAACTGAAGTGTTGAGCCAGATCATGGCCCAGACTACGTTTTGAGCCAGATCATGGCCCAGATTCGGGCCAGGATGGAAGATTAGAGCCAGATCTTGGCTTAGATAAAAGTGTTGAGCCAGATTGGGACCAAAACTGAATTGTTGAGGAAGATGGTGATCCAAATAGACATGACAACTCACCTTTCTCTGAAGGACATTGACTCTCCTGTCTTTGATGTCCAGGTGGTCTCGGATTTCTGACATTTCCAGCTCCATGCGTCGTTTCTCGGCCTGGGCTGACTGGGCCTGCCGACTCTTCTTGTCTATGGCAAACTCCTTCTCCTTCATTCTGTCCTGCAAGTCCTCTATCTGAAAGTGGGACAAACAGTGCAGGATACACAAACAGACTGGTGCGTCAGTAAAAGTCAGATGGAGGAATATTGAAGACTTTTATTCCTTACAGGAGGAGAAAACTTTAAAAAATAGTTCACTTGACCTACATTAAGTGTCACTTGAAAAAATCATAATTTGTCTAAAATCCATGATCTTTTACGAGGTTCTTTTAATTTGAAGCAAAACAATCAACTGGGTTCTGTGTAATTTCACTGCAAATATCATGAAACTTTATCAACATTTACTTATCTTGCTAAAGGAGGTAACCCAAACATAGTCTCCTCTTGGGGATATTTTTATCTGTCCATGATACAAAAAAATGATTCTCATGATATGCCAAGTGTATATATAAATATATCTGACCTATCTGATTATCCCTGTCACAAGTTGAGAAGTATACATTCAAACTAGCCACATAGCCAGAGTTTGCCTTACATCAGTCTGCAGCATGCCAGTGTGTAGTTCCTTGGCTGCGATCTGCTCCTTCAACACCGCGATGTACTGCTTCTGTTCCATGTGTTGCCTCTCCAGTGTCTCCACCTTCATCTTCACACCCGTCAGCGTCGTGTCCTTCTTACTCAGATGGGCTTTCAGGTCCTCGATCTACAAACATAAAACATGTGCCTCCACATCAGGTCCTCAATCTACAAACACAAAACATGTGCCTCCACATCAGGTCCTCAATCTACAAACACAAAACATGTGCCTCCACATCAGGTCCTCAATCTACAAACACAAAACATGTGCCTCCACATCAGGTCCTCGATCTACAAACACAAAACATGTGCCTCCACATCAGGTCCTCAATCTACAAACACAAAACATGTGACTCCACATCAGGTCCTCGATCTACAAACACAAAACATGTGCCTCCACATCAGGTCCTCAATCTACAAACACAAAACATGTGCCTCCACATCAGGTCCTCGATCTACAGACACGAAAAATGTGCCTCCACATAAGGTCCTCGATCTACAAACACAAAACATGTTCATCCACATCAGGTCCTCGATCTACAAACACAAAACATGTGTATCCACATCAAGTGTTCGATCTACAAACACAAAACATGTGCCTCCACACCAGGTCCTCATCTTTGACAACAAATGAATGACAAAGGATAACAATACAAAGGCAGTTATAACCATATACAAACAAAGGTCAGATAACTCTGACAACTTACAATCTTTTGGGCTAATGGTCCTACTCCATGCATATCAGTGTAGACCAATAATGAACTGGGCATTATTTATTTATTTTATACCCATCAAGTCAAGGAAACCAAAACACACCTCTTTTTTGAGGACTTTATCCTTGGCACTAGGACTGTTTTTGAGAGATCCATCACGGCGTTCCCGGTCCCCAGCGTCCTCACATATCCTGGAGATCTGGTCCTCCAGCTCCTTCACCTCCTTCTCCAGGGCAGAGATCCGGGAGTCCTGGTCAACACAGTCAGATCTTAGCAATGGTCAACAGTCAGATCTCAGCAACAGGCAACACAGTCAGATCTCAGAAACAGGCAACAGAGTCAGATCTCAGAAACAGGCAACACAGTCAGATCTTAGCAACAGCCAGATCTCAGCAACAGTCAACAGTCAGATCTCTACAATAGTAAACAGTCAGATCTCAGCAACAGTCAACACAGTCAGATCTCAGAAACAGGCAACAGAGTCAGATCTCAGAAACAGGCAACACAGTCAGATCTTAGCAACAGCCAGATCTCAGCAACAGTCAACAGTCAGATCTCTACAATAGTAAACAGTCAGATCTCAGCAACAGTCAACACAGTCAGATCTCAGCAACAGTCAACAGTCAGATCTCAGCAACAGTCAACAGTCAGATCTCAGCAACAGTCAATACAGTCAAATCTCAGCAACAGGAAACAGTCAGATCTCAGTAACAGTCAATACAGTTAAATCTCAGCAACAGGAAGCAGTCAGACCTCAGCAACAGTCGATACAGTCAAATCACAGCAACCATGGCCCTCTTACATCACCAGTTGATACATTTGGCACAAGTAGGAGCAAGATACAGCCATACAGTTCATTCCTATGTAAGCTGTGAGTAATTTTTTTGAAAATATGCCAAATGCTACCAAGTGTGTGTAGTGTGTGAGTGAGTTGGTTTTACAACGTAGTTATAACACTATTCCCACAAAATCACGGCAGGATCATCAGGAATAGGCACACATGGCACCAAATATAGAATCAAACATGGGCGTTATACATGAGAAGCCACTGTAAAAAACAAGGCCATCCCAACACCCCATTTGTTTGAAGTAAAGTAAACTACTCAAAAGAAGATAAAGAACACCATTTTTTTCACATGCAACACAGAAACTTCCAAAAGTGGGTGTCCTTTAACTTGTTTGGAGTGAGTGAGTGAGTGAGTGAGTGAGTGAGTGAGTTGGGTTTAACGCAGCTTTTAACAGTATTCCAGTTATATCACGGCGTGTCAGCTTAATGTGGGAGGAAAGCCCGAAGTGATGCAGGTCTCAGACGTTTACCACCTCGGTGAAACCAGGGTATGAAACTCCCCAAAATTTCAGCCAGACCACAGGACTGTCTAGCTGAAATACTTGCCAGACCTGACCAAAACCTGCCTGCCCACTATAATCATATGTTTCTCAGGGTAAGCTAACGGGATTTCTTTTTGGTTACATTTTATCATTCATCTTTACATGTAAATTAATGATTATCATCAGGGAATATTTAGAATATTGTCACATATGAAATGTAACCCGACCGTCGGGCAGGGGGATTTGAAAATCTGGCAGCCCGAGTTGAAATCAACCCGTCTCGGACGGTCGGGCAGGCAGGTATTTCGAACACTGGTGAAACCCACGAGCACGGTTATGGTGCTGACAAACCTAGAAAAATAATCGGCTCGAACCGGGATTCGAACCCACAATCATAGGTTTCTGGTGTGCCAAAGGGACGCAACTCTGCCAGCGAATCGCGGCGCATTAGACGACTGGGCCACCTGTGCCCCCTAACTTGGAAAATTATATATCTACAAATGTTTTGGCTTTTTTTTTCAATTGTCAACTGGATAATGAAGTTGAGGGAGCCTCAAAATCTCTTTGTTACATCTAGACTATTTCACCTCAACAGAATATCATGCTTATGACCCTTCCTGGGAGATGATAATTGGGTACATTATAGCCAAATCTGTTTCAAACTCATTATAACCAGGGATGGCTGCACAAAATGGTACCTCTGTCTCATAAACAAATCACATAGTCAAACAAATCAGAGATGACAGTTACGTCATGGCCTTATGTCCTAGGCATCAAGGCAATGCAATCCTTCAACATTGGGAAATAAAAATACAAAGAAATCTTATTCCTCAACGTAAATCGTTAAACAAATAGCACATCCCTGTTGGCCGTATCTTATTTATTGTGAGGGCTGTGAATGGAGGTCAGATGGTGCCCTGTCACATGGGATGCAACCTGAGCTGACCCAAGTTATCAGACTCTGGCTTCGGAGGAACCACTATCACCTCCAGACACACACATGACTGATTGAGACCAGAAGGCTTGTAGCTCTCATTACACCTTGGAACAAGGACGTCTTGAACGTGGGAGTCTTTCACAAAATGTCGGTTCATGGTTGAGATATGCTGATGGGTAGTTAAATATCAACTCACTCACTTTCAAATTATGCTTGCATAGAGAGCTTACTTTGGTCTATAGAAATGTTTGCAAAGTTTGACATTTGGTTGGCTTACCTTAAACTCCACTAATGCTTATATAGTGTGCTTACCTTGGACTCCAGTAATGCTTGCATGGTGTGCTTACCTTAGACTCCAGTAATGCTTGCATAGTGTACTTACCTTGGACTCTAGGAATGCTTGCATAGTGTGCATACCTTGGACTCCAGTAATGCTTGCATAGTGTGCTTACCTTGGACCCCAGTAATGCTTGCATAGTGTGCATACCTTGGACCCCAGTAATGCTTGCATGGTGTTTACCTTGGACTCTAGTAATGCTTGCATAGTGTGCATACCTTGGACCCCAGTAATGCTTGCATGGTGTTTACCTTGGACTCTAGGAATGCTTGCATAGTGTGCATACCTTGGACCCCAGTAATGCTTGCATAGTGTGCTTACCTTGGACCCCAGTAATGCTTGCATAGTGTGCATACCTTGGACCCCAGTAATGCTTGCATGGTCTTTACCTTGGACTCTAGTAATGCTTGCAAAGTGTGCTTACCTTGGACTCTAGTAATGCTTGCAAAGTGTGCTTACCTAGGACTCTAGTAATGCTTGCAAAGTGTGCTTACCTTGGACTCTAGTAATGCTTACATAGTGTACTTACCTTGGACTCTTGTAGTGCTTGCATAGAGTGCTTACCTTGGACTCTAGTAATGCTTGCATGGTGTGCCTACCTTGGACTCTAGTAACATAGTGTACTTACCTTGAACTCTTGTAGTGCTTGATTAGAGAGGTTACCTTGGACTCTAGTAATGCTTGCATAGTGTGCCTACCTTGGACTCTAGTAATGCTTACATAGTGTACTTACCTTGAACTCTTGTAGTGCTTGATTAGAGAGGTTACCTTGGACTCTAGTAATGCTTGCATAGTGTGCCTACCTTGGACTCTAGTAATGCTTACATAGTGTACTTACCTTGAACTCTTGTAGTGCTTGATTAGAGAGGTTACCTTGGACTCTAGTAATGCTTGCATAGTGTGCCTACCTTGGACTCTAGTAATGCTTGCATAGTGTGCTTACCTTCGACTCTAGTAATGCTTGCATGGTGTGCTTACCTAGGACCCCAGTGATGCTTGCATAGTGTGCATACCTTGGACTCTAGTAATGCTTGCAAAGTGTCCCTACCTTGGACTCTAGTAATGCTTGCATGGTGTGCATACCTTGGACTCTAGTAATGCTTGCATAGTGTGCCTACCTTGGACTCTAGTAATGCTTGCATAGTGTGCATACCTTGGACTCTAGTAATGCTTGCATAGTGTGCTTACCTTGGACCTTTAGTCATGCTTGCATGGTGTGCTTACCTAGGACCCCAGTAAAGCTTGCATAGTGTGCATACCTTGGACTCTAGTAATGCTTGCATAGTGTGCTTAATGTGGACTCTAGTAGTGCTTGATTGGAGTGGTTACCTTGAACTCTAGTAATGCTTGCATAGTTTGCTTACCTTGGACTCTAGTAATGCTTGCATGGTGTGCCTACCTAGGACCCCAGTAATTCTTGCATAGTGTGCATACCTTGGACTCTAGTAATGCTTGCATAGTGTGCCTACCTTGGACTCTAGTAATGCTTGCATAGTGTGCTTACCTTGGACTCTAGTAATGCTTGCATAGTGTGCATACCTTAGACCCCAGTAATGCTTGCAAAGTGTGCTTACCTTGGACTCTAGTAATGCTTGCATAGTCTGCATACCTTAGACCCCAGTAATGCTTGCATGGTGTTTACCTTGGACTCTAGGACTCTAGTAATGCTTGCATAGTGTGCCTACCTTGGACTCTAGTAATGCTTGCATAGTGTGCATACCTTGGACTCTAGTAATGCTTGCATGGTGTGCTTACCTAGGACCCCAGTAATGCTTGCATAGTGTGCATACCTTGGACTCTAGTAATGCTTGCATAGTGTGCCTACCTTGGACTCTAGTAATGCTTGCTTAGTGTGCTTACCTTGGACTCTAGTAATGCTTGCATGGTGTGCATACCTTAGACCCCAGTAATGCTTGCAAAGTGTGCTTACCTTGGACACTAGTAATGCTTGCATAGTCTGCATACCTTAGACCCCAGTAATGCTTGCATGGTGTTTACCTTGGACTCTAGGAATGCTTGCATAGTGTGCTTAACGTGGACTCTAGTAGTGCTTGATTGGAGTGGTTACCTTGAACTCTAGTAATGCTTGCATAGTGTGCCTACCTTGGACTCTAGTAATGCTTGATTAGAGAGGTTACCTTGGACTCTAGTAATGCTTGCAAAGTGTGCTTACCTTGGACTCTAGTAATGCTTGCATAGTCTGCATACCTTAGACCCCAGTAATGCTTGCATGGTGTTTACCTTGGACTCTAGGACTTTAGTAATGCTTGCATAGTGTGCTTAACGTGGACTCTAGTAGTGCTTGATTGGAGTGGTTACCTTGAACTCTAGTAATGCTTGCATAGTGTGCCTACCTTGGACTCTAGTAATGCTTGATTAGAGAGGTTACCTTGGACTCTAGTAATGCTTGCATAGTGTGCTTACCTTGGACTCTAGTAATGCTTGCATAGTGTGCATACCTTAGACCCCAGTAATGCTTGCAAAGTGTGCTTACCTTGGACTCTAGTAATGCTTGCATAGTCTGCATACCTTAGACCCCAGTAATGCTTGCATGGTGTTTACCTTGGACTCTAGGACTCTAGTAATGCTTGCATAGTGTGCTTAACGTGGACTCTAGTAGTGCTTGATTGGAGTGGTTACCTTGAACTCTAGTAATGCTTGCATAGTATGCCTACCTTGGACTCTAGTAATGCTTGATTAGAGAGGTTACCTTGGACTCTAGTAATGCTTGCATAGTGTGCCTACCTTGGACTCTAGTAATGCTTGCATAGTGTGCATACCTTAGACCCCAGTAATGCTTGCATGGTGTTTACCTTGGACTCTAGGACTCTAGTAATGCTTGCATAGTGTGCTTACCTTGGACTCTTGTAGTGCTTGATTAGAGAGGTTACCTTGGACTCTAGTAATGCTTGCAAAGTATGCTTACCTTGGACTCCAGTAATGCTTGCATGGTGTACTTACCTTGGACACCAGTAATGCTTGCATAGTGTGCTTACCTTGGACTCCAGTAATGCTTGCATAGTGTACTTACCTTGGACTCTAGTAATGCTTGCATAGTGTACTTACCTTGGACTCCAGTAATGCTTGCATAGTGTACTTACCTTGGACTCTAGTAATGCTTGCATAGTGTGCTTACCTTGGACTCTTGTAGTGCTTGCATAGAGTGCTTACCTTGGACTCTAGTAATGCTTGCATAATGTGCTTACCTTGGACTCTAGTAATGCTTGCATAGTGTGACTACTGGCAGGCTGCTGTTTGAGCTGTAACTGAGCTTCACTGACATCATCCTTCATTCTCATCATTTCCTACAGATTGATGGACAACACAAAGAAACAACTGTACTGCATATAAAAACAATGTTGTTATAATTCAGTCATATACTAACAATCAAAGAAAGAAGACTAAAAATGAAGCATGTTAAAGGCCTTGAAAAGACGTAATTGACATGTACTTTCTGCTAATAATCCATGCAAATGCATACATTGGCGCCCTCCCCAAATACTTTCATACTAACCTAATTGTTTCCTCCCCTGGTGTTTACCTAACTAATTTCTGACCCTCCCCAAAACATGAAAAACACAATATTTTCTTGGAAAATCCACACATCGAAATCAAACTTTTCACAATGGTGTAGGTCGCAGGTAAAACCCTGTTTTTAAATCTAGGTTCCCTCTAAATCTTAATCTTTTATCATTTAGGTTATGACAAAAAACCTAACACTCATCCTTAACTTCAAACATTGCTATTCATCCCATTGACTCACCACTGACTGAGTGAGTGAGTGAGTGAGTGAGTGAGTGAGTTGGGTTTAACGCCGCTTTTAACAGTATTCCAGTTATATCACGGCGTGTCAGATTAATGTGGGAGGAAAGCCTGAAGTGATGCAGGTCTCAGACGTTTACCACTTCGGTGAAACCCACGAGCACGGGTATGGTGCTGACAAACCTAGAAACATAATCGGGGCGAATTGGGATTCAAACCCACAATCATAGGATTCTGGCGTGCCCAAGGGACGCAACTCTGCACAGCAAACCCCGCGCCTTAGACGACTGGGCCACCCGTGCCCCCTGACTCACCACTGAGATAAAGACCTATCCCTTGTGATGTTGTCATGGAATCAACTGTGTGTACTTACATCCTTTAACCTCATGATTTCTTTCATTTTGTCTCCTACTCTTTCTTCCGCCCTCTGTCGTTTTCTTTCTTCTTCGACTATATGTGACTTTAATGTCTCTAGTTCTTTACGGTCTTCCTCCATTTTCCCAGTTGCAAGACCTTTGCTTTGTAACATTTCTAAAAGTTTCTTAATACTTTCATCTCTAGCAGACAGAGTCTGTTTTTGTGTGTCTATCCTGAGTTCCATCTCGTCTATGGTTCTACGCAGTATAACAATTTCCTTCTTCATGCGGGCCTTGTCCTTCTTCATGGTGTCGAACTCCCCCACATCCACCAGGCTTTGCTCCTTGCCGGAACTACTCACTTCCAGGTCGTGCAGCACCCCTACATGTTTCTGTAACAGACAGTAGACCATGGTCAGTGCAACCACTGCTACAACATAATCTCATAAAAGTGACAAAACCATTTACATTGTAATACATCTCTGCTAGATCTCTGTAATTGTACCATTCTGACAAAATCATAAGTATAGGCTTATGAATCACTATCAAATAGTGAGGATACCATGTGTTTGTAAAAAAAGGTAAGTCTATTCTGCCCATCACAAACACATGCAAAGGCAAGTCAATTGAAACCTTGATCAAACAACTTTTGGGCAGGAATCATATGAATCTGAAATTTTTGTAGAAGGGGCATGCTCAATTGTACCTCAAAGCTGTGAAATGGAGAGTGAGTGAGTGAGTGAGTTGTGTTTAACACCGCTTTTAACATTATTCCAGTTATATCACGGCGTGTCAGCTTAATGTGGGAGGACCGCACAAAGTGATGCAGGTCTGAGACGTTTACCACTTCAGTGAATCCCACGAGCACAGGTATGGTGCTGACAAACCTAGAAACATAATTGGGGCGAACCGGGATTCGAACCCGTAATCATAGGTTTCTGGCGTGCCCAAGGGACGCAACTCTGCACAGCGAATCACAGCGCCTTTGATGACTGGGCCACCCGCGCCCCCGTGAAATGGAGAGACCAAAGGCTGGAGCTGGTGGAATATTGTCGACTACCGTATTTTCTTGTGTATAGTGCACACCTGAGTATAATGTGCACCCCCCTCTAGCGGATTCAGTATTTTGGAAAAAAAATAATTGAATATTATGTGCAGAAAAAAATTACACCGTACCCCTTCAGCTAATTCCGGTAAACAAACGGGTGATGAGAAACTTGGTCAGTACAAATTTGAAATTAGAGATAAAAAAATCACCCGACATGTTGATTTACCGTTTAAATTGTATTTTTTGTTCTTCTAAGCATTGTTTTACATCCAGGGATTAAGATTACCTTGTGTATTTTCTCATAAACTAAGCTGGAAACAGCAATCGGTGATACCATATAATCTAGTGGTCGAAAAAACAGAATTGTCTTGAAACGAACATGTCTGAATTTCCTGAATTTATGCCCCTCGACCGCACATATGAGGCACATGAATATCGCCATTTTCCTACCGAAATAACTGCACAACCGGACATACCATACCAAAGGGCCATAACTCTTATAATTGAATCCTCTTTTCAATACAAACCTGTACGACTGGTATTTCATTTTAACTTCTTACCATTAGGCTCGGTATTAAAAATACATATGAGAAAAAGATAATCTCATTTTACTTTACTTTCATTATTTTTCATGGGATCCCCCCCCACCCCCCAACCCCCACACACGCACACATACACACACAAATGAATATCCTAACAGGAACAGATTTTTACGTCAGTAGGCACAAGTCTAAGAATAGTGACATATCAGCTGGGAATAGAAACAAACCTTCCTTCTTCTCACAATGTCAATACTGCCCAAGGCAGTTTAACAAGAAAAGGATTACATAGATCAGCATGATCAATGGACCTTCCACTATATTTACACCCTTCAAGTGAAGCCTGCTTGAGCTAATGAAATAATTTTGATCTCTGCAGCATCCTCATTGCAATACAGAACAGTGTCAACAACCTGACAATATTGAAACTGAAAACGGTGAATGCTCACAACACAGAATCAATAACATCCTTACCAAGCTTGATGAATATATATTGAAAAGTTTGCAGTTGGATCCAAGAAAGTGCCCTTTCTATTGATCTTGACCGTTGATGCCTAATCTCACAAAACAAAACGCACAGCCCACATCACCAGAATTTAACACCATGAAAGTCAACACATGTAGGGAAGAGTGAGTGAGTGAGTGAGTATGGTTTTACGCCGCTTTTAGCAATATTCCAGCAATATCACGGCGGGGGACACCAGAAATGGGCTTCACACAGTGTACCCATGTTGGGAATCGAACCCGGGTCTTCGGCGTGACGAGCTAACGCTTTAACCACTAGGCTACCCGACCAACCCCATGTAGGGAAGAGATGGACATCCAACAACCAAGCTTTAATCATGTTAATGTCACACAGGGCAAGTTGAGTTGAGTTGAGTTGAGTTGAGTTGAGTTGAGTTGAGTTGAGTTGAGTTGAGTTGAGTTGAGTTGAGTTGAGTTGAGTTGAGTTGAGTTGAGTTGAGTTGAGTTGAGTTGAGTTGAGTTGAGTTGAGGTGAGGTGAGGTGAGGTGAGGTGAGGTGAAATGGGGTTTAACATTCATGATTGCACTTATATATCATACTGCGACTTGAGTGTCTGTGAGTGTCTGTGAGTGTCAGTGTGTGTGTGTGTCAGTGCGTGTGTGTGTCAGTGTGTGTGTGTGTGTGTGTGTGTGTGTGTGTGTGTGTGTGTGTGTGTGTGTGTGTGTGTCTGTCTGTCTGTCTGTGTCTATACACTAGTTATGGGACTAGCCTACTGAGAAAACATGCCGCAGTTTAACATGGATACCCCATATACAGATACATCATACTGACTCTGAGCCGACCAGTTCTTATTATATCCCCTAAATACCAATACCAAGCAGGGTAACCAGCAGTACCATCTCTCAACACCTTTTGGTATGACGCGGCCGGGGATCGAACCACCGACCTTCCGCTCTGAGGGCAGACACTCTACAGGGCAATGAGATCTTCAGATACATAAAATATGAATCACTGGCCATGGAGATTCACCCAAGATTCAACTGTCTACAAGGGTCTAGCTGACATTCATCTGAGGCCAGACAATCATCTTGGCATTCTGGCTGATGCTGTTTTGGCCAGAGGGCCCATAAAGAATCGCTACATGTAACTGGTATAGCAGTAGCCTTGTCAGTATATCTGTTGTTTTGTCTCCCTGACAGAGTATAATCTGTCAGTCTTCCAGATGCCCACAGATACTTCAATTACTACCACTGCGTTCTGTGGCCAATTTGTCCAAAAAGTGCACTGAATCTAAATTTTCTGATTGACTCCTTTCCTTGTAATAAAAATAAGACCTTAATTTCCTGTTTTGGAACAAAATTGATTAGTGACCTTGAAGTTAATAGTAAATCTGCACAGTGTTCAAAAGATCCGTCAACCAATCCGTTCTACAGTGTTACATAGACTACAATGAGCATCCTAATCCTTCACTCAAAGCTTGGCAAGTCAAACTTACCTGTAGCGTCATGACCTTAAACTGTTTTTATGAAGTAAACCCTGTTAGTCTGGACATTAGCTTTTACAACAAAGTCATCTGGAATCAGTCTGTGCCCAAAACCTTTGAGTCTTCTAGCTCACTCTTGGCTTCTAGCTCACTCTTGGCATCATTTTTCTGATTTTACTGTTACAATATGAATTATTATTAGCTTAGTTGACTAGACCGAACAGAATTGTACCAGACTTTGGCTTCGGGCTAGCGGCTGCAGTCGCAGGCTGCGGAATAACAAGTTTCTGGATTAAAAATTAAGGGTAACAAAGTAATGTCACTTTGTATGAATGCAAGCGTTCCAGGCAGTAATTGTGTGGTAGGTGGGGCTTCCTGATTAAAGTGCTCATAAGTAACAAGGTTTCACTGTATGTCTACTTCACTATGGTTGAGACACCTTTGGACCTTTGGGATTCCAAGCTACAATTTATCCCTGTCACCTCTTGCACCCCTTGCTTTGGTTGGGATGGGGCTGTCAATTTATCACTGGTCATGGGAGGAAGATTCTGCAGTAATGTTGCCCTACCAAACACCTGTCTCCTAACTAGACCTCTGCTGAAGACCAGTTGTCCTACCTACTACCTGGGACTTCTAGTTACCTACCTTGGACTTCTATCTATCTAGGGACCCGTGAAGATCCCGTGAATAGGTCTTCAGCAACCCATGCTTGCCGTAAAAGGCAACTATGCTTGCCGTAAGAGGCAACTAACGGGATCGGGTGGTCAGGCTCTCTGACTTGGTTGATGCATGTCATCGATCCCAATTGCGTGGATCGATGCTCATGATATCAATCACTGGATTGTCTGGTCCAGACTATTATTTACAGACCACCATCATATAGCTGGAATATTGCTGAGTGCGGCGTTAAACAACAAACCAACCAACTTCTATCTAGCACCTGCTTACCTTAGCACAGACCTGTTTACCTACCTAGGACTTCTATCTAGGACCTGTTTACCTACCTAGGACTTCTATCTAGGACCTGTTTACCTACCTAGGACTTCTATCTAGGAGCTTTTTACCTACCTAGGACTTCTATCTATGTTTACCTACCTAGGACTTCTGCTGGACAGTAGCGATTGATGCTCCCAAAGCATTGGTTGGTCTTACTCTGACAGATGCTGGCATAATATATATGGAAGAAATATTTGATGAAACTGTTTGTAAGAGCCACTTCACTGTTCAGTTTAGTCAACAACAACAAAATTAAATCTTATCACTCCAACAAAGTCTCTATATTTTTGCCTCACTCTAACGACAAATGATATAGATATGGTTCTTACAGATATGGAACACTAAACTAGTCCAGTTGGATTATTTATAAGCTTTAGTATGTCAATACATTTTTGTTTAAATCCAGCATACCATATACAGTCAAGTCCCGTTAATCCGAATATGTTTTCTTATCATGCACCTATAAAGTTTAACACAAAACTACTGTTACGAACTGTATGACTGATTCAAATTACATTTTAAAGCATCGTCTGGAATGGAAGTCACCAATTTCAAACTAGTGCCACAATGTTAAGGAAACCTGGTTTCTTAGTGGCTAATGTCAACTTCCTGTTAGTAATATTATTGGTCGGTCAAAGTTCACGAAAGGTCGTTCTGACGTGACCTGTAATGGGATGTCCTCAGCAGTTATGAGAAATTGTATCCAATTTTAATGAGATTGAGGTAATCCAGGCATGTGAATAATCCTGTTTTGTTTAATTTAAGCAGTAATTTTTTATTGGTAAGCAAGTTAATCTCTGCAGCCGTTGAAATATGCCGACTCGTCTCTCATCAAAACAAGGGGCTGTGTACTCGGGGGCAGATGATCACTGTTTCAGATTAACGAGACTGATTAATAAGTGATTTCAGCAATTTGTTGCAATTTAAGTGCATCGGAGTCGGAGTGCGGGACTGTCGGATTAACGGGTCTAAATAGCACTGAATAATCGGTTCCCATCATTAGTGTCGGATAAAGCCGAGTGTCGGATTAACAAGACTTAACTGTATTAGTTGTAAGACTAAAAAAGCTGTATGAACGTAGCTGAATGACACTAAAATTCAAGGCCTTTTCAAGCCAGTATGAACATTGATAGACAGATGAACTATCAATGAGAAGATGTTTCAAACTACCTTCATTGCCTTGGGTGAACATCAAATATCCTACCTGCTGAAACCTTAAATTATCGATCACTTATACAAATGACAAAGGCCATTTCGTATTTGTTCTGGAATGTGCGTGAAATAACTGACTTAACATGAATGTACTTCAGATTGATCACCTCAGTGAACAGTGACATTTATTAAATCTCTCAACCAAACAAAACACTTCATAACAGGAACAGTCCTACACATTCCAAATTACATTTTACACTTAACCACTTAAGCTAAATTGCATGTAGGATGTATTGCAGCTGTTGAGTGCTGTGTGGACTGATCCACAAGTAGGGTTAGGGGTAGGAGCAGGCAGGGGTGGGAGCAGGCTGGGGGTGGGGGAGGACAGAGGCAAGATGTTAGGGGTGAGAGGACAGAGGTGGGGTGTTTGGGGTGGTAGAGGACACAGGTGGGGTGTTAGGGGTAGGAGAGGTCAGTGGTGGGATGTTAGGAGTGGGAGAGGACAGGGTTGGGATGTTAGGGGTGAGAGAGGACAGAGGTGGGATGTTAGGAATGGGAGAGGACAGGGTTGGGATGTTAGGGGTGGGAGAGGACAGGGTTGGGATGTTAGGGGTGGGAGAGGACAGGGTTGGGATGTTAGGGGTGAGAGAGGACAGAGGTGGGATGTTAGGAATGGGAGAGGACAGAGGTGGGTTGTTAGGGATGGAAGAGGACAGGGTTGGGATGTTAGGGGTGGGAGAGGACAGAGGTGGGTTGATAGGGGTGGGAGAGAACAAGGGTGGGATGTTAGGGGTCGGAGAGGACAGGGTTGGGATGTTAGGGGTGGGAGAGGACAGGGTTGGGATGTTAGGGGTGAGAGAGGACAGAGGTGGGATGTTAGGAATGGGAGAGGACAGAGGTGGGTTGTTAGGGGTGGAAGAGGACAGGGTTGGGATGTTAGGGGTGGAAGAGGACAGAGGTGGGTTGATAGGGGTGGGAGAGGACACAGGTGGGGTGTTAGGGGAAGGAGAGGTCAGTGGTGGGATGTTAGGGGTGGAAGAGGACAGGGTTGGGATGTTAGGGGTGGGAGAGGACAGGGTTGGGATGTTAGGGGTGGGAGAGGACAGGGTTGGGATGTTAGGGGTGAGAGAGGACAGAGGTGGGATGTTAGGAATGGGAGAGGACAGAGGTGGGTTGTTAGGGGTGGAAGAGGACAGGGTTGGGATGTTAGGGGTGGGAGAGGACAGAGGTGGGTTGATAGGGGTGGGAGAGAACAAGGGTGGGATGTTAGGGGTGGGAGAGGACAGGGTTGGGATGTTAGGGGTGGGAGAGGACAGGGTTGGGATGTTAGGGGTGAGAGAGGACAGAGGTGGGATGTTAGGAATGGGAGAGGACAGAGGTGGGTTGTTAGGGGTGGAAGAGGACAGGGTTGGGATGTTAGGGGTGGAAGAGGACAGAGGTGGGTTGATAGGGGTGGGAGAGGACACAGGTGGGGTGTTAGGGGAAGGAGAGGTCAGTGGTGGGATGTTAGGGGTGGAAGAGGACAGGGTTGGGATGTTAGGGGTGGGAGAGGACAGAGGTGGGTTGATAGGGGTGGGAGAGAACAAGGGTGGGATGTTAGGGGTGGGAGAGGACAGGGTTGGGATGTTAGGGGTGGGAGAGGACAGGGTGGGATGTTAGGGGTGGAAGAGGACAGGGTTGGGATGTTAGGGGTGGAAGAGGACAGAGGTGGGTTGATAGGGGTGGGAGAGAACAAGGGTGGGATGTTAGGGGTGGGAGAGGACAGGGTTGGGATGTTAGGGGTGGGAGAGGACAGGGTTGGGATGTTAGGGGTGAGAGAGGACAGAGGTGGGATGTTAGGAATGGGAGAGGACAGAGGTGGGTTGTTAGGGGTGGAAGAGGACAGGGTTGGGATGTTAGGGGTGGAAGAGGACAGAGGTGGGTTGATAGGAGTGGGAGAGAACAAGGGTGGGATGTTAGGGGTGGGAGAGGACAGGGTTGGGATGTTAGGGGTGGGAGAGGACAGGGTTGGGATGTTAGGGGTGGGAGAGAACAAGGGTGGGATGTTAAGGGTGGCGGACAAGGGTGGGTTGGGTTGTTAGGTGTGGGAGAGGACAGAGGTGGGGTGTTAGGGGTGGGAGAGGACAAGGGTGGGATGTTGGGGGTGGGAGAGAACAAGGGTGGGGTGTTAGGGGTGGGAGAGAACAAGGGTGGGGTGTTGGGGGTGGGAGAAAACAAGGGTTCGGATGTTAGAAGTGGCAGACAAGGGTGGGTTGGGTTGTTAGGGGTGGTAGAGGACAGAGGCAGGTTGTTAGGGATGGGAGAGAACAAGGGTGGGGTGTTCGGGGTGGGAGAGAACAAGGGTGGGGTGTTGGGGGTTAAGCAGTAGCCAGTAATGGTGTGGGGATGTGCAGAAAATTGCAGATTCAATATGTCAGCACCATGCACCATTTCAGTTGTCTGCACTGATGCTTGCAATATTTCCAGATGAATACCTCTGCCATTACATAAAAATCAATGGAAAGACTGTCACAATTTTAGCGCTGCTTATCAATGCTACTTTTTTTTCAGAAGCTGCTAGACTGTCCTGCCATGCATAATAATGCCTCATAATCAGTACAAGTTTCCGGTTTGTCAAATTGTATTTTTGCTTTTACGTCTACCATTTGGTCCTGTCTTCTGGTCCTCTTGGTTGCTACATCATATTACAGCTGTCATACTTGTAGCAGTCTAATTTTTAATTCATATTTTAAACTTTTTCAGTAATTGACATCCAAAAGATCAAAATCAAAATGGCTTACCCTGAACACAAATAAAACGTGCAGTCTAGAGAAAGCTAAATTCTGACATAAATGAGTGAGTGAGTCGAGTTGAATGCCGCTTTCAACAGTATTCCAGTTATATCACTGAAGGTATGCCTAATGTGGGATGAAATTCCCAAGAGATGAAGGTCTCAGACGTTTACCACTTTGGTGAAACCCACGAGCACGGGTATGGTGCTGACATGAATTGAACCCACGATCAAGGTTTCTGGCCTGCCCAAGGGATGCAACTCTGCACAGCAAAGTCTCTTAAATAATATCACTAATAAACAAGCTTTACATTAGGTCATTATGAAACAAAATAAACCTTTCACATGTCATAACATCATCCTTAAAAATATATTTCAACATGCTGACACGAGCGCCATTTCTTTTCCAAAGTAAATAAGAGAAAAAAGGTCTACTAATTCAATGTTCTTTTTAAAAAAATCTAAAAGAGGCCAAAGAACATGATGCACTGATCATCCCAGAGAAGCCATTCCAATGATGGAAGAATGTCAAACAAACACCCAACACATCTTTGCATTCAAAAATATTGATGACCAAAGTAATTGAGCTTGACAAAAGAGGCTCCATCTGTCAACACACAAGTAGTGCTCCTAATCATGTCTGGTGTGGAAACCCAAGAGAGTGTTTACTGTGCACCTACTCCATACTATCTCCATGGTCACTACCCAGTTACCAGCCCTGGTCACTGATTGACCTCAGACTGGCCATCCTAAACTGGCCATCTGGCCACTTGGGGTCAGGAATGTGTAGCAGACAGATGGACATCCCATGTGCATTGTGAGTATGTGGCCAGGAATGAGGGCTGTAGGCTAATAGTTTGGGCAGATTTGGTAGACTCATCACTACTGCCAGGGCTCCAAATACCTTTGTCCCACCTATGAGTATTTACCCACCGGTTCTCATTTACATTGGGTCTTGATAGTGTTTTGGAGCATTCAAAATATGTTTACTCCCTTGGTGCAATCTATTTTGTATTTCCACATCAATGAGTAGACAGTTTCTAAAAAAATAATTCTGCTTTAAATACTGCTTCAGGTGACTTCTAATTAAAATCTATCTGTCAATGTGCTGCCAAGTGTGTCACGTGTTGCATAAACTTGTGATAGTAATATACATGTCTAATTAACAATAAGCAAAACATAGTGCCCTTTTCGTGCATTATTAACAGCAGTAAAGTTCATGAATGTGGAATGCCTACATCCAATCAGTAAATAAATATATGGAAAGAAGCAGCTGATCTAGAGCTCTATACTGAAGGAACAGCAGAAAAAAATAATCATTTTCTTCCTGAAAACATCTGTCATAATGTAAAGAAGCAGACAGGAGAGGCAAGACTCTTCATATTCTGGGGCAGCTGGGACGGGCTGCTTCTCGGAAGCCTTCATTATTTACACAGAACAGCAGGATATTTTTTCCTGCCCTTTTTGCTTATTATGATAACATAAGAGGTATCATCTGGCTAGTTAATACATTAATAGGAACCTCTGCTAGTATATAGACTTGGAACAGCTCAGTTTTAAGATACTGGTTCTGATTTAGGCTTGAACAAGTTTCGTGTACAAAGGTAATTTAACTTATCACTTATTCAAAGCAGATTAATCACATCCACATGGCCAATTCACAAGTATAAACACAAGGAGCAGTGGACCTTTGAAACTAGCTGGGGAACGTGTGGAGTCATACTGATGGTGAGGGATTCAATTAGTTTCAATGTACACTTAATGTTGCTTGCTTTTCTGCATCTAATTCTTTTGATGCAACATGTGAATTAAGTAAGTTGCTGAATTGAAGTCTAGCTACATGCAAAATGGCTGTAAGAAGTCGGCCATGCAAGTGAGTTATTCTGGAAATGTTTGAGTATGTATCGAGGCAAAGGGGGCCGTTTGTATCATGATGTCTTAGTGCCTTGTCCCTCCACTGCTGATTAAGTTACATGTGATTTAATAGAAGGAACTATGGTCTTCAAGTCGATAAGACTAGTGTCGCTTTGTTTAAGCTTGAGTGAAGGAAAAGTGGGAAAATAACAGAAAGCAAAACTGCTTTTTTAAGTTTATAAGATGCGCTGAAAAAAACAAACAAATCAATCCTCATGTGTCTCATATCTTTGATTTGTAGTATATCAACAGTCCAAAGTCCAGGTCTAGTAAAATTCCTTTTGGTCCAGTGAACAGTCAAATAGGGTACATACATTAACACAAAAATAAACTGAAAAAATGACATCAAATGACATTTGTTTTTTTTGCACAGATTGATATATGCACAAAAATGTATTTAATGCTTAATGTTCATTATTTCCATTCCGATATCATAAGGCTGTAAATGAAGAAATTGTCTTGGAAGTCAAATTACTATAGTACATGGTCCCTCCAATATTTGTAAGTTGTCCTCTTCCACTAATGTCCACACATACCAGTCTCGGTGCATCTGTGCAAAATGTGCATTTAAACATCTAGATTCTATGCCATGTGTTGTCTTCAGAAACTGAAACAAAGATTCTGGTGAGAAAAGAGAGCTCTTCACCATTTGCATTCTTTGAATAAAATGCTTTCAAAGTTCAGGGAATTTTCAATTGTTGATTGAAGAAATGAGGCCTGGCTTTCAACATTGGGAGTACTTAGTGTAGTGAAGCATAAGACTCTACACTGAAATATTAATAACGGTCCTTTGGCAAATCAATTCATATAATTTGTACAGCGAGATGACAACTTTTGGATTGCAGGAATACTAGCAATAGTGATCACTAATAACAAATTCAATTCATGAAGAGATATGGTTCGATTCACCGAATACGCGAGGGAATCGTAACAGCCCTAACTAGCATGTAACACAAAGGCAGCTTTGGTACTTCATTTTACCAACATTTGGGCATCACATTCTGGGGTATGACGACTCACAACATTTACAAGACTGGGAGTTGGACACTTATCTATCCCATCATCTCTTTCAACTTCTTCTAGAGCTTCAGGTAGTCGGAACCACACAGCTCCATGAAGATCCGGATTATGATTGTCTTCAGCAACCTATGTTGGTCGCAAGAGGTGACGAACAGAATCAGTTGGTCAAGCTTGCTGATGCATGTCATCATATCCCAATTGTGTAGATCGATGCCCTTGACGTCACTCATTGGATTGTCTGGTCAAGACGAGTATTTACAGACCGACGTCACATAGCTGGAATATTGCTAAGCGAGGCATTAAACAAACAAAGAAAACACTGGGACACGGATCTGTCACTTCATCGGTCTGAGTTGTTTCAAAATTATCCACAAGAGGAAGTCCGAACCATACAAACGATGGTATATATATATCCAAAGCTGACCTATTTATGCACAAGAATGGGTTTTCAAGGCACATGTAGACATCCAACCTAATCATAAGATTATGTTTTCAGGATGTGTGTGTGTAGATGCAAGGGAATACGATAGGGTACAAGCATGCCGGACTGGTGTGGGATGTCCGAGGGCTCTACAGGTTGCAGGTAGGGCAGCTGGACCAGACACTACAAATGTCAGAGTTTCAAGCAGGGAGGGATGAATGTGCTTCCACTTCCTCTCAACTACGCCTGCTGGCAGAAGTGCTATGTGTACCTCACACGCCATACATACTACATACACATGATATACAGTTAGCATCTGTGGGGGCATGGAGAGGCAGGCAGGGACTCAAGCTTGTTCTACAAGAGTCGACATCCGGCAAAACATGTTGTCTACTTGTTTATTACTTGCACATGCAGGTCTTTAAAAAGTTCCTGGCATTGTTTTGCCATCTTCATCTATTAGTTGGCATCCCTCAGAAGTTCAGTTCTTATTGTACAAGCTAGGAATCACTTTCCCCTCCATTGGTAAGGGCAACTTTAACAGGATGTTAGCACTGCTGTTTTAAATACCTTTAAGTCTGAGAGTGACAACAGCAGTAGTGTAAAGACCATATTATGGAAGAAGGACCTTGGCACCCACCGTTTCACAAAAAATATTAGCGCTAAGAGTAAGACCGCAGTAAATCTTTGTGAAAGTATGGGAGTTACGATCATCTTAGTGCTACAATGGCTTTGTGGAACAGGGCCCTGGGCACAGTTCCACAAAGCAACCTTAGTGCAACAACTTTCAAAAGTCAAATGTTAAAGTAGGGGAGTTACGATCATCTTAGCGCTAAGGTCCCTTTGTGGAATGGTCCTAAACTAGTCATATACAATACTTTTGACAAGACAATACTCACTTCCCAAAGCGCCAATATTAGCAAAATAAACCAGCGGGGCAAATATATCACTAGAATGGTGTTTGGGCACAATGGTCAAAGACAGACTGTTCATATTAATAACCAAAACTGAACATCATGTAACATCTTATTAGTTTGGTCAAGCAAAACATGGATCATTGGATGTTTCTAGATATCCTTGCAGATGAGAGATGAAATGGTCTTCATCTCAAAGTTCATTCGATCTGCTTGTACCCATTAGTTGGTGATACAACAGAACCATTATTTGTTGGCATGTTTCTTTGTAAACATTTCCAAGTTCAGCATGGCTAGTGGTCAAATAGCCTTTGATGGCAGTATTGACTGATGTACCTTGCTATGGATTTGGATCTGTGGTTTCAAAAGAGCTATTTACAGAATTTGGTCTGTCAATATCTTTTGAAATTATCATCCATAAACCTATCCAAAACTGTCTGGTTTCATTGGTCAGAATGCAGTGTCAGAGTAAGAAGCGTCTTTCCGTTTAGTTCTGTCATCCTCTCATGAAGACACTGTCGAAACTGGAATGCCACAATTGCAGAGGCACGCTTGTTTTTTGTGTTTTAAAACTTTCAACTTAAACTCTCAAACCTGTATTTACGACACAACAAACCAAATATCTAAAACATGCAATGACATAAGATTGAATTTTACAAATAGCAGAGCTAATAACCTTAGAATATGTAACACTGAACATGATAAACCTTTGATGCTAAACATCTCAATGTTTCATAGAAGTGTCTACACCTACCCAGACAATTTCACAACACTCTCCAATGAGCACAGGAAAGAAGAGTTTGGCATGACATATGTACTGTCAACTATAAGTTTGTTACATTATGTACACGTTCTGCTGGACCATACTGTCCAGGTATGCCACAGTGAAGATTTCAGTGCACTGCTTGCTAATAAACTAATGGACAATCCACAGACATAGTATAAGACCAGAGTCCTATATCACTAATAAATTACACTGATTAAACAGGTTTAATTTAAACTTTCTGCACAGGGAGTTGGGCAGGGTTCTGTTCCATAAAGCAATCTTTGCTCTATAGGGTGAGTGAGTGAGTCAATTGAATTTCACCTCACTCTAAGCAATATTCCAACCACATAATGAAAGAGATATCAGACTTTGGCTTTGCTCATTGTACCTGTGTAGGAAAGCAAACCCAAGACCTCGTCATAATCAACCAGAGCCTTAACCACTAGGCTACTCCACTCTCCACTTCAAGACTTGACAAATAGACCGCCTTGTGGAACAGCGTCATCGGATTTAGACAACTGGCCAGAACAGACATGTGACTGTGACAAGAAACGGAATATGAATCAGACAATGGAATCCCTACACTCAATCCTTAAGGACAAGTTCCCCAACGCAAGACTTGCTATCTGCGGCATCCCTCCAAGGCTAAATGAACAGGGCCTCAAGTACAACAAACACATCTGGAACTTAAATGATCTTATAGAGAGTTTGTGTACCAGATTCAAAATTGAATACATTCCGGTTGACTTCCATTTCTGTGATAAAAATAACTGTATCAAGAC